AAACCAAATAACTACCGTCTACTCGTTGCTCTTTTACAAAAAAATCATTAAATATTTTTTTTGACTTAGATCCGCGGTAACCCATTTAGTTTTCACTCATCTTTTGAATTGTTACCTTACCTGAGTAATTACTTCAGCCACTTATAGTCTTTCGATTATGGTTTGGTATCAAAAGTTTTAGGGACTCCCCGGAGTTTGGCAGTTGTAAGCATAAAAAGTGATAACCCTAATCACTTTACACTTTCAAAGAAACATAAAAAAGCAATAGATCTAAAGAAACAAAAGCACATATTTGTAAAGACTCCAATAATAATATTGAAATTAAAAAAACTTTTAACTGTATAGTATCCTCGCTCAGCCCTGCCGCGTTCGCGCTTGCCTTGATTTCTAATTTAGCCGTGCTTTCTTTTTTAAAGAGTGAGTGTACCTCTAAATTACTAGCAGAAAAAGTAAGTTGTTCTTCTCCTGTTAAACCATTCGTATCTTGTTTAATATTAATACTAGGACTGCTAAGGTGCTGGGAACTAAGACTAATATTGTTAACAAATAAATCATAACTTGAAAAGAGCGATAGGAGTAATAAAAGTAGTCAATAACACAAAAAAATAGATATTTCCATCTACTCCAAAACTAAATTGATTAATTTCGAATACAAATTGAAATTGAGTTGTGTTATTAATTGTGGTCATATTATGTACTTCTGAACTTAAAACCGAAGAATAATTATTAAAAAATATCACATAACGATAGAAACAATAATTTAATAGAAAAAGAATAATGCGATATTAAATAAAGACGACGGTGTTTTTAATTAAGATTTAATTTTTTTAAACCAGACACGCTAGCTAAAACTCTGCCCTTGAGGTACTTCCTGTGGAGTCGCTAGTCGCCAGGTAAGGCTAGTCCACTGTCATCTTTTCTAATAGGTCCTCCTTGGCTTTTTCTACCACTTGTTGCTCCACGTTTGTAAATATATTATAAGTACTCCCCCTACAGGTATTAGGATCAAATAAAAATAGCGCTATGCTGAAAGGCCGAAATTAAAGTAGCATTTTAGAAATTTTGTGTATCTTTTCTTTAGATAATTTAGATATCTTGATCTTTTTAAATTTAGCCAGGTACGTGCCCTTCCTGGTCACTGTCTCCCACTTTAGCTCCCTCTGCAAACTTAGTCCTCCGCGCTTCGCGACTCCGCCCTCATTCAAGCTGCTTCGCGTACAGCAGCTAAAATAGACCTTCGCTCCCACTCAGCTGCTTTTGGGACGCTATGTTCCCTCCAGCCCTGCTTTTGGCGACAGCACCTGCCGAAGCTGGGGCAGCGCAGGTTTGCGACCCCCCTCGTAACCTCCTTCGCTCCGCAGGCGCCCCTCCGCACTCGTGCGTCCGTCCGCTTGCGGTGGTGAGCGGGCGGGTCGCAAACCTGCGCTGCCCAGCTTCCGCCAGGTGCTGTCGCAAAAGGCAGGGCTGGAGGGAACATAGCGTCCCCAAAAGCAGCCTGAGTGGGAGCGAAGGTCTATTTAGCTGCTGTACGCGAAGCAGCTTGAATGAGGGCGGAGTCGCGAAGCGCGGAGGACTAAGTTTGCAGAGGGAGCTAAAGTGGGAGACAGTGACCAGGAAGGGCACGTACCCTGGCTAAATTTAAAAAGATCAAGATATCTAAATTATCTAAAGAAAAGATACACAAAATTTTCTAAAATGGCTACTTTAATTTCGGCCTTTCAGCATAGCGCTATTTTTTATTTGATCCTAATACCTGTAGTTGGAGTACTTATAATATTATTTACAAACGTGGAGCAACAAGTGTAGAAAAAGCCAAGGAGGAACCTATTAGAAAAGATGACAGTGGACTAGCCTTACCTTGGCCGACTAGCGACTCCACAGGAAGTAACCTCAAGGGCAGAGTTTTAGCTAGCGTGTCTGGTTTAAAAAAATTAAATCTTAATTATCAAACACCGTCGTCTTTATTTAATATCGCATTATTCTTTTCATTAAATTTATTTGTTTCTATCGTTATGTGATATTTTTTAATAATTATTCTTCGGTTTTAAGTTCAGAAGTACATAATATGACCACAATTAATAACACAACTCAATTTCAATTTGTATTCGAAATTAATCAATTTAGTTTTGGAGTAGATGGAATATCTATTTTTTTTGTATTGACTACTTTTATTACTCCTATCGCTCTATTTTCAAGTTATGATTTATTTGTTAACATATTAGTCTTAGTTCCCAGCACCTTAGCAGTCCTAGTATTAATATTAAACAAGATACGAATGGTTTAAACAGAAGAACAACTTACTTTTTCTGCTAGTAATTTAGAGGTACACTCACTCTTAAAAAAAGAAGCACGGCTAATTAGAAATCAAGGCAAGCGCGAACGCGGCAGGGCTGAGCGAGGATACTATACAGTTAAAAGTTTTTTAATTTCAATATTATTATTGGAGTCTTTACAAATATGTGCTTTTGTTTCTTTAGATCTATTGCTTTTTTATGTTTTCTTTGAAAGTGTAAAGTGATTAGGGTTATCACTTTTTATGCTTACAACTGCCAAACTCCGGGGAGTCCCTAAAACTTTTGATACCAAACCATAATCGAAAGACTATAAGTGGCTGAAGTAATTACTCAGGTAGGTAACAATTCAAAAGATGAGTGAAAACTAAATGGGTTACCGCGGATCTAAGTCAAAAAAAATATTAATGATTTTCTTTTGTAAAAGAGCAACGAGTAGACGGTAGTTATTTGGTTTTATTGACTGCTTCCTTAGGCTAGTATTAAGCAAAGCTAGCTCGTTCGAATATCAGTCCCGAGTCCTTCGCTGAAGTAAGAGAGAAGGGTGCTGGAGAGCCTCCGGAGGTATAGCGTGCTCCGCTTGTGGACAGCTCGCACTGCTTTAGCATCCTCGCCTGCGCTGCGCGAGGTTCGCGGCTGCCAGGAGGACTGCTTTAGATTACGAAGGCTGGAGGGGCAGTATGCGCCCTGCAATAAGGGTTTAGCTGCACACCTCTTCTTTAGCACGCGCTACGCACCTGCGGACTAGCCGCACCCGAAGGGAGCTTCGCAGCGTACCGATCCCACCTCCGCAGGTTCCTAAAGCAGTACACCGACCCTGCCTGGAGCCTTTCCTCCAGCAGCGTACATTCAGCTTCGCTCCTGCGGACCGAAGGGGAAGCGCGCGCAGTCGCGAAGCGCGTGCGGACCCTTTCCAGTTTCGATCACGGATCTGGACGACGGGCTATACGGCAAGTTGTCAGCCCCGCGGATCACCTGTCGCACGAGCTACGCTACTGCTTCGACCGGAGCGCCAGCAGGCGAAGCAGAGGCGCTGCGATTGCGGGGATTTAAGCTAAAGCAGCGAGGGTGGAGAGCGAGAGGAAGTATCGATGGGTACAGTCTATTTCTGTACACAGCGCAGGCCAAAATTTAAGGTGTACTCTAATGGGTGTGAAAACAACTATCCAATCAGCACCCTTTCTATTAAAAAATTTGACTTTTTTATTAAACAATAAGAACAAGTAAAAGAAGTAAAAGAGGTGAAGTAGGACAGCACCAGGGCTTATATCACCTACACGGTGCAGCCCTGGAGTACAAGACTCCCGCACAGCAAGAGGTACGCGCCAGCCTTGCATGATGCTAATGCAGTCCTCCGATCCAGCCTTGCTTGCTCCTTCTCCAGAAGCGTGTGTACTTACAGCTCCGCTCTGCGGCGGGTGTGGAGCGGCGCTAAAGCAGTGAGGGGCAGCGCACCTTGCGCCCTTCTTTAGCTCCGCACTCCCAGAAGGAGCGTGCTAAAGCAACGCGAGCGCTGCTGCTCGCCCTTCGCCGATTAAGGGTCCAGCCTCCCTGATTTCATTACCCCCCCTCCCGCCGCGCGCTTTGCTCGCTACGCGAGGCGGGGGTAAATCAGGAGCGCTGCCACCCTTTAGGCGAGCCCTTAGGGAGAGAAGTATAATTTCAAATTAATTTATTAATCCTTACCTGCGTAGAGTCGAAAACGGATAAACAAACTCACTATAAACTAAAAGTAAAAATGCTTATTTTAAAGCCAGCGGCCGCGAGCTAGTAGAGTTCACCTCCGTCAACGTTCGGACTATTGCAATTTGCTAATTGCTAATTATTAATAATTCCTAATTGCTAATTAATAAAATATACGGCGAAACCTCCCCTCCGTCACGTATCTTCCCTGGTTCCGCAGTATGCTTAAGCAGGAGGAGGGCGCTAAAGCTGCTTGCATTCCTAACATATATCTCAGTACTCTGAGGGGGAGGAGGCAAGCGACCTGCGGTGTATCTGTTGCTGGTTTAGCTTTCCTAAAGCGAAAGCCGAGTACGAAGCTAAAGCAGTCCAGGAGAGCACAGCCTTGCTAAAGCAAGACCGTACGGGCCAGATGTAAAAGGTGAAAAGCAATACTCCGCTCCCGCGCTTTGCTCCTGCGGCCAGCACCGCCTTCTCCCTGGTTTACCTGGGCGGGGAAGCAGAGCAGCTACTCCCCTGCAGCGCACTGCGGTCCGCAGGCGCGGAGCGGATGGTGGACAGGTGGTTCTGCTTTATGCGCTTCGCTGCTGCGTACAGTCCCCCCCTGCTGCAGGTCGGCTAGCCTTGAATGAAACTAAGGTTACTGAGACTTGTTTATTATATTAATAAAAAAAATTTTATTTTTTTACGATAAAGCTGATCATTTTTATTTTGGTATTGCCGGTATTATTTATTTTAATTGTGGTTTTCGGTCACGGTGAAATAGATTTAGATCAGCATTTTTATTGTTTTTATACTTTAGCTGGTAGTTTACCTATGTTACTTTCTATTTTAACTATTTATAATTATTTTAATTCTACTGATTTTCTAACAATTTCTTTTTTTGAAATTAGCTTAGAGAGTCAAAAACTATTATGAATTGGTTTTTTATTGCTTTAGCTGTTAAAACGCCTTTAGTGCCATTTAGTATTTGGTTACCTAAAGCACATGGTGATAGTCCTTTAGCTGGTTCTATAATATTAGCTGCGACTATATTAAAATTAGCTACATATTTTTATCTTAGAGTTTTAATTAATTATTTACCAGATGCTTCTAATTATTTTAGCCCTATGGTTCAAACTATTGCAATAATTTCTATAATCTATGCTAGTTTTGCTACAATAGTTCAAGAAGATACTAAAAGACTTATTGCTTATTCTTCTGTGGCTCATATGGGAGTTGTTGTTTTAGGTTTATTTTCTAATACTTTACACGGAATAGAAGGAGCTATTTTATTATCTTTAGCTCATGGATGAGTTAGTCCTGCATTATTTATTTGTGTGGGTGGTATTATTTATGATAGAACAGGTACTCGTATTATTTACTATATTAGAGGTTTGGCTAATATGATGCCTATTTTTACAATTATGTTCTTTATTTTTACTTTAGCTAATACTGGTATTCCTTTATCTCTAAATTTTCTAGGAGAACAATTAGCCTTAATGGGTATTTGAGAAATAAACCCTATTGTTGCTGCGTTAGGTGCTTCGGGTATTTTACTTAGTGCATGTTATAGTTTATTTTTAATGAATAGACTTTCTTACGGTGACTACTCACCTTATTTATATCCCGTTAAAGATTTAAATAGAAGAGAGTATCATTTATTATTAACTCTTATGATACCTACTTTTTTCTTTGGGTTATTTCCAAATATAATATTAGATGGGTTACATATGGTAAGTACTAATTTATTATATAATTAATTCTAAATTAAATAACAGGAAGGTGCCCGCCTCCTTCTGCGTAGCTGGATTGCTTTAGCGCCAAGGGAGTAATATGAGTAGAGAACGGTATATGAGTAGAGAGCTCCTTTTGCAGTCGCGAAGCGCGAGCGAACCTCTATTACGTACCTCAACCTGACGCCTCGGGAGACTAGCAAGGGAAGGATATTTTTATTAATATATAACTCTTGCCCCCTCTCCCACTTATTGCGCCCTTAGTCGAATCTAAGTAATCATAGTTTTTTTTTATTTTCAAATATATAAGTTAATTATAATATGTTACGTTACAATTTATTACTTTTCGGTGAGGCCCTTTGTGGTATTGCTCGAGGGTAACTCTTTGCGGAGTACCTTTTTACTCTTACGTAGACTTATTTTTTAAGTTATAAATAAATAGGGTCAGCAGCGCGCCTGCGGTCCGCAGGCGCGGACCGAGCGAAGCGCGAAAAGTATTTAATAAATAAGGAGCGGTACTCAGGTGATATATTATATTAATAAAACTCCGGGAGACAACAGATATTTTCTATTATTATTTAAAGGTTAAAGATAATCTCATTCCTAATTAGTAGTCGCTGCTCTCCACTTGCTTATCGGGAGTGCGTAGCTGGACTGTTTTAGCACTGCAGCTAGGCTGCTTCGCGCCGCTAACTTTCAGGGCTCCTTCGCTACTTTAGCACAGCAGCCCGCTCCGCGGCTGCCCCTGCAGGGGCAGTGCGCAGCAGCGAAGCGCATAAATCAGGGTCGCGCAAGCACTAAAGAAAGGGATCTCGACTAAAACAGAAACAGGACTGCTGCTCCAACCATGCTATCCTCGCTCCTTTAGCGTGGTAGCGTTGGTTCTGGTTTAGCAGTCCTGCGCCCTGCGGTTAATTTCCTTTATCACTGCAGGCCGCTCCGCAGTCCGCATTCCGCAGTCCGCTGGAGGGAGAAGGGGGGGGGGTGGCGAGGGGGATTTTTATTAGTAGAGTGAGGCAGGGCGCCTAGGCTACACTATCTAGAAGATTAAGTGTATAATTCTTGTCACCAGGCAAGCAGTAGATAGATACGGGGTCGCGAGCGGCAGATGTTTAAGTATTATTTTTAATAGTATTGAATATCTCTTTCGTATTAAACTGTGGAAAGATTAACAGTATAAAGAATAATCTTCTAAATAAATAAAAAAATATGAAAAATAAAATTAAAATGTTAAATTTTTTAAACTCGATTTTACAATAAATGGGAAGTATGATAGGCAAAGCCGAGAAGCAGATTTATTTATATTTTTCTAGGTCTTAAGAAAGGCTATATTGTTTCCACATTATCTGTTAAGGTAGAAATATTTTTTAATAATATTTTTTTATTAGAATATTGCGTGTATTTGGTGGAATTTCTTTTGTAATGGTTGTAACTAAATTTTTATTTAAATATTCCAGAATATTTAAATTTATTTATAACTATAATCGCTGCTATTCAAATAACACAAACAATAATAATAATAATAAGATTAATGATAAAAAAAAGGGGAAGAGCGCTATTTCTCAATAATTGATAAAAATAAAAATAAGTTATAAAAGAGATTTAAAAAAAATTATAAAGAGATAAAAAAATTATAATAAATTACTTTTATTAACGACAAAAAAATTATTACTTATTGTTAAATTTATTATAATTTAAACAAAATAAGGGGATATCTGTGCGCAGCGTCGCGGTACGCGAACCTTAGTGTTAGTGTTCCTCACTAATTAAAATAATTTTTTTAATTAAAAAATAAATAGGTATTAAAGCCTATAATTTAACGGTAGAATAATTCCTTGATACGGGATATGCAGAAGTTCGACTCTTCTTGGGCTTAAATATTTATTCTAACCTTTTTTTAAAAGTAGAAGCTTTATATAATTATAATATTTAAAAAAGTACTACAGCCTACTATCGTTGCTGTCGTTTCACCACCTAGCCATAGAAGTACTTAAATAAAGGTAGGGCAAGTAAGTTCGCGCTGAAGATAAAGCAGATTTTATGCGCCTCCTGCTGTGTACATGGACAGCAATCTTACGGTTTTGATAGGCGAAGCAGAGTAGCAGCAGTGGAGAGCGCCGAACATAGAAAGTCAGGCGCTTTACGCCTGCAGGCCGAGGTTTCAACCCCCTACAGGCAGGGGAGGCGTAAAGCGTGAGAGGTAGAAGGGTTAAGGTGTAGGGGGGGAGTCCGCGAGCGGAAAGCGTTACAGCCTAAGGGTTACAATGAGGGCCCTCTTTCTGCTTTAGCACTGGCAGCTGGACTGCTGACTTAGGACTACCAACTATCTGTCAATCCGCAGGCGTCGCGTCGCAATGAGGACAGGGTTAAGTAAGATATAAAATTATAAAAGTTATGAGTTATAAATTAGTGCTAAAGCAGAAAGGTCTTCGTGCTACCTATTGACAGCTTAGCTTGGACCCCGTGTGTTAAAAGTTGAAATGTTAATCACATTATTAAAGAAAGCAATTACTCGAAAGTAATAAAAGGATTTGAAAAAAGGCGACTTAAAGCAGCAGCAAGGGGGGGTTAACCCTTGTTAATTAATAGTCCGCTGGCTAATTTTAAAGATTAGAAGAGGTCAGCTGACCGTAAATAAAGGGTAAAGCAGCGCTCTGTAGGTGCGGACAGCAGCAGCGCCGCCTGCGAACGGAAGTAGCGAAGGCGAAGCTCGTAGGCCGCCAGCTTCGCAGGACCGCTGCGCTGGTTAGCCTCACAGGCTAAAAGATAGAATTATAGAATTATAGAATTATAGAATTATAGAAGATAGGCGAAAAATAAATAGAAAAATATAAACTAAAAAAAAGGTAAAAACAAAATAGAAAAACACAAAAAAGGGAAAATTTTTGTGTTTTTCTATTTTTTGAATTGAAATAATGGCTAACTACCTAAGACCTGCCAGGGCCAAAGGAGAAAGCTTAATAAAAATAGGACGAGTTTAACTTTAACGGTAATCCGTTGCAGGGTGCTCCGCTCTTGCTGCTTAGCGAGCAAGCGTGACCCATGTGCTAAAGCATAAGTCGAAGTACTGCAACCCTTATTGCTCAGTATTTGTGGATTTTTGGGTTGTCTCGCCACAGAGCGCTTGCTGCTGGAGGCTTCGCAGCGCTGCGAAGCTGATGCTCCAGCAATCCGCGCCCGAAGGGAGTGAAGCGTGAGGGAGGGGTGAGGGGCATTCGCGTTTCGAAGTTTGCAGCGACACCTAGCTGTTTTTCAGTCCTTTTGAAAAAAGGGGAGGGGTTGAGTACAGCTAACAACGCACCCACTTTTTACACCTGTTCTGCTTTAGCTAACTGGATAAATTAGGTCGGCACTCCTACCCTGCGCGCTTCGCTCCAGCGGCCTCAGGGGTCGCGTTTCTGTTCTGTTAAAGCAGACTTCCCTTTGGAAGGTAGTACAGGAGCAAAGCTGCTGTGCTTTGTAGAGTTAGGTAAGATTGTTAAATTTATTTTTTTAAGGTAAATTTAAAGTAAAATAAAAAAGGTCTTTCTGTAATGTTAAATTGTGATAAAAAAATATAAAGGTTAAAACAACAAAAATAAAATAAAAACTGTGTTGGTTTTAGATTTAAAACCTCTCGAGATAAAAGGTACATTCCTTAAAATTTATCTGCTTTTATTCCTCAGTCTGATAATAAAAGTAGGAATTAGTGCCGGCTAATTTTACATATAGTTTAATAACTAAAAAATTAAGCTAGCTTACAGTAATCTTTACTGCATTCAAAGGTACTAGTCTTCCCTACTTATGTAATGGGATCGAAGTAGCACTGTTTGCTACTTCTCACCCAACCTGCGAAAGCGTTCCTAAAAAAAAGGTGGGGGCCGACGCTTTTATAAACTGCAAGGCGCGTTCGGTTATAAAGCAGAAGGAAAGGTACGCGCTGGTTTAGTAATGAACTCCTAAAGGGGAGCCCCTCCCCAGCAGCGCGCCTGCGGTCCGCAGGCGCGGAGCGAGCGAAGCGCGTGTAGCAGGGGAGGGGTGGGCTCGAAGAGGTAATCCGCAACACCTTAGTAGAAACCTCCGGTATCCTACCAGTGGAGAGCAGGAAAAGCTGTGGTGAGCAGACCCTGGCTGAAACCCTCCCCTGCGGAGAAACTTAGTTACCACGCAACATGAAGCACAGTGCTCCTCTAGCTACCCCTCCGCAGCGTACCTCTTTAGTCGGCGAGGGACGCTCCCCCCCTTGAAGAAGGTAGCCTCGCAGCAACTAAACCAACCGTAAATTACCCTAAGTTTAAGTCTAAGGATAAGAGTATCTTACTCAACCATTCCGCTCTCTGAAAACACAGGTATGTGATGTTGCAACTTATTTTATTTTATTCTATTTAATAAAAAGTAATTAAAGGCAGACCCTCACCCGATTATCCGTACATCCTAAACTTAAATCTAAAGCGAGAATCTTTAATTAAAGATTAAGGTGTGTTAGGCTTTAGCTTCAGTCCAGAATTTTTTTTATTTGTCTCCAGCACACGCTCCTGCTTTAACATGCTCCGTGCCGACTGCTGGAGAAGGAGCCGACCCTGCTCCTTCGCCTTCGGCGGGCAGTGTCTCCTTCAGCACTGAGGTACAGCAGCTAAAGCAATACAGTCCTGCCGGGGTGGGCTCGTAGCACCAGCTGCTTCTGCTTTAGCACTGCAGGCGAGTAAGCTAAAACTGCTCGCGTTTTAGCAGCCCAGCTTGCCCTTCGCGCGAGCAAATAGCGACAGCATGCTTCAAATGATACTAAAGTAGCACTGCTTCACTAACTTACAGATTAAAAATGAAGGAGCATAAGCATCAGATCAGGCGCGACTTCGCAGCTGCTACGCTGGCTGCTAAGGAGGGGCAGAGCGGACCTTTTATAAAAAAATCCGATTCTAAACAGCAAATTGGTAGTCCTCCGGTCCGACCATATCCCCTCCAACCTTGGAAACCGTATAGAATTATTTAAATAAAAATTCTTTCTCTATAAATAAAACAAGCCCGCGCAGGAGTAAAGGCTCCCTTAGTTTTACATTAACTCCTTTTTTTATTTTTTAGCTAGATACTTTACTTTACTCAGATTTTTAATTAACTGGAACCAACCCCCTCAACTTTTACAGCTCTAAGCTATGATCCGCAACTCTAGAGGCGCAGCCCCTCCGCGCTTCGCTCCTGCGCCCTGCGGAGCGAGC